GGGACTTTCCTATGAGGCACAAACCACCCCTGCCACTCTTTAAACCTCAAACCCCTACCTTCATCTCAGCTCAGAAGTATGACTGAGGAGCTTGAGTCTCACAGTGCACCTGACTTTAAACTTTAAACTGTCCTTTCCCTAGTAGGAGTTTTTATTAGGCAGGGAAAGATGATGGGGTGATGACTGGTTCATCAACCTGTCTTCTTAAAACTCTCTTTGATCTTAAAAGCTGAGATTGGTGTCTTTAGTTCAGTCTGACAGTCCCAAGAAGGACAAACTAAAGAGGGGCTCGAGCGGAAGAACTCATCGATATCTGGCTGAAATCATGCTTTTACCATGTTAACTGTACAAATAACATATTTCCCTTTGCTTTCCCAAACTCGAGTGCAGGATATAGACAGTGTCATCACCTTTTCAGATTGACCCCAAACACTAAATCTTCAGGAAACATGAGAACGGAAGTCAAGTGAGGAAGGTATGTCAGGAAGTCTTTAACAATTTTTTTTTTTTGAGACAGTGTCTCCCTGTAGCCACAACTGGCCTGCAACTTGCTATATAGATCAGGGTGGCCTTTGTTTTACAGTGATCTGTCTGCCTCTGCCTCCTGAGTGCTGGGATTAATTTCCTTTAATTAAAGGAAATTAAATTACATTTATTGATTGTGTATGTATGGGTGCATAAGTAGACAGACAGCATAAAATAACTTTCAGGAGTTGGTTCTGTCCTTCTCCCATCTGGGTCCTAGCCATTGAAATCAGGTCATCAGGCTTGGCAGCAAGTGCCATCTCAGCAGCCCATCTTTGACAATCTCATACATGTATCAAATGTATTTTGGCTATTTCCATCCTCCCATTACCATCAGTGACCACTGAAGCATGCTCATGGAAAAGGAGGGCGCTCTTTAAACTGGGCCAGCTATGATCAGATTAGAAACAAATTATCAGCAAATCTTACATTCTGACACTAACTTTTATTGCTATTTTTTAACCATTATTAAGGGAGAGATATAGATTGTACAGTGAAGGGGCAACCCTTTCTAAGATTAATAAAGAAACTGTTGCTGGGCGCCATGGTGCACATCTTTAGTCCCAGTCCTCAATAGGCACAGGCAAGTGGATCTCTGTGAGATAGAGGCCTGTGTGGTCTATATAGAGAGTTCCAGGTCAGCTGGGGCTACCAGGAGACCTTGTTTCTAAAAACCCAAAACAATAACAGCAAATGGTAAAAATCAGAGAAATATTGATTTTTAAAAATGCTTTGAAATATCTTTAAAATGGTTTGACTGTTATAATCATATTTTGATATGACTAAATAAAAGAGCTGAGCATGGTGGTGCACACCTTTGGTCCCAGCACTCGGGAGGCAGAGGCAGGCAGATCCTTCTTTCTTTTTGTTTTTAAATTAAGCCATATGCTAACAGTAAAATGAAATTACTGAGTTAAAGATAAATAACTCTGCTAATCCTACTATTACCAAATGTCCAGATTTTACCAAGTGTGTTTGGAAAACAGTTTTGAGTACCATATAAACCTGTGGAGGCTGTGTTATGAGGATAATCCGAGTAAAAAAATGATAAATGTGCTGTGTTTTTATTTTTTCTAGGCTATTTTTAAAAAATACAAAAATCGCCAGGGCGGCCACACGCACACCACACCGGCCACACGCACACCACGGCAGCACGCACACCACGGCAGCACGCACACCATGCCTGCTATCTCCCAGCACTAACCCCAGCTGCTGAAGCTCACACACTTTACACACATGGGAAACGCTGATCCCCGGCCTCTGCCAGACATGTTCTTCCCAGGTGGGAACTGGCCCAGGTGGGTGACGGGCTGGTCTTCCTTCCTCGCTGACACAGAGATTAGGAAAGGTGTGTTACACTGCAGTCATCACACTGAATGCAAATTCACTTCTGTTTACAATCATGAAGACCAAACTCCATCACACAGGAAAATGAAGTAGACGCTGTAGATTTAGGTAAATTAACTTTAATGCATTACGTTCAAGTATGAACTTCTTAAAAAAGGCATTATAATGCAAGTCATTAAAATACCATTTGAACACAAATCATATCAAATCATGCTCATTTCCTTTTGTAAAACAGGCCAATGTGGACTCAGTGTTTCTGTGGGTTGAGCATTTTCACCCTTCTGGCCTGGGTAGGAAGACACTCTGGGAATAAATAGTCACCAGGGCAGGTGTGGGGACGCAGCTGCTGTGAAGGGCTGAAAGGCGGGGCTCTAGATAAGTGGGCAGTCTCCTGGGTCAGAATAGGAACTGGGTGTAGCCACATGCAGGGTCTATCAAGGGCTGGCTCACAACATGCAGATGGGGATTTGACCTGAAGCACAAGGGCAGTCAGGGAAGCAGCAGGAGCCTTCTCACAACCCTTCCAGCCAGCAGTTCTGAAGACCTCTATAGCAAGGCAACAGGTAGGAAATAGGACACACTCACTGGCCTGACTTCAGAACTGAGTGGGAAAGCCAGGCATGGGGGTGTACACCTGCGGTCCTAGCACTTGAGAGGGGGAGGCTGAGACTGGAGGATCACAAATTTGAAGCCTTAAAAAAGTATTTCAGACTGGGCATGGTGGTGCATGCCTTTAATCCCAGCACTTGGGAGGCAGAGGCAGGTGGATCTCTGTGAGTTCAAGGCCAGCCTGGTCTACAAAGTGAGTTCTACCTTGTTTTAAAAAGACCAAAAAACCCCCCACAAAACCCCACAAAAATCAGGCTGGACAGATTGGCTCAGTGGTTAAGAGCAGTGGCTGCTCTTGCAGAGGATGTGGTTTGATTCCCAGCACTCACATGGCAGCTAATAACCATCCATAACTCCAGTTCCAGAGGATCCAACACCTTCTTCTGACCTCCATGGGCACTGCAGGGCATGGTGCACCTATCTACATGCAGGTAATATACTCACACACATAAAAAAAAAATACAAAAATCAAAACCAGAATTGTAAGAGATCCTGGATAGTCACTCAACCTTCTGAAACAAAATTTATTCTTATGCTTTTTTAATTTTTTTGGTCTTTTTGAGTCAGGGTCCCCCTGTAGCTCCTGCTGTCCTAGAACTCACTATGTAGTCCAAGCTTGCCTTGAACTCACAGAGATCCACCTGCTTCTGCCTCCCGTTCTGTAAGAGCAGCCAGTGCTCTTAACCGCTGAGCCATCTCTCCAGCCCCAAACTTAATTAAAAAAAAATTTTTTTTTCTAGTTAGGGAAAACTTTGGAATTATTAGGGCATGAAAGAAATGATCAGAGATAGAATGCATACCAGGTACAATTAGGTATGGGGAAAGTGAAGTACATTGAGCAAAAGATCTTACCAAAAATGTGCACAATTGCCTAAGCAAAAATCTTCATTGGTTTGATTGGAGGCAAGGGATTACCTCCTGGTGATGGCAAGAGCTACTATGTATCCATGACACCTTATGTCTAAGACATTTCACCACTTACTTAATCTTTACAAGTCTTCCCTCAAAATTAGGAATCGGTCCACTTTCCTAGGAGGAAAGCAGTGGGTAAAGGCACTTGCTACTAGGCCAACCGAGAACTCTACACGGTGGAAGGAGAGAAAAGACTCCCACCAAGTTGTCCTCTGACCTCTCTTGACCTCTGTGCTTTCGAACACAAAGTAAATAAAATGTTTCAATTGCAAATCCTCAGTCTGATCTTTGCCCAGGGATTCTAACCACAGAAAACTGCCCCGTGTTGAAGAGTGCACGTTGAGGTCTTAAAAGTTCAGAAATGAACAGCTGGTGGTGGCTCACTCCCGAAATCTGAGTTTTTGGGGGTGGAGGCAGGATTGCTGTGAGTTCAAGGTCAGCCAGGGCTACACAGCAAAATCCTGTGTCAAAAACAAAATACCCAAATCAAGCTAGCTTCCTATTACATCGTGGGGTACTTCTTTTTAAAAAATATTTTATTTTGGGGGAGGGGGAAATATTTTATTTTACTTTATATATACGAGTGTTATACCTCATGTGTGTAAATACACCCATGTTCTGCAATGCCCACGGAGGTCAGAAGGCATTGGATCCCCCGGAACTGGAGCTATGGATCATTGTTAGCAGCGACTTGGGTGCTGGGAATTGCACCTGGGTCCTCTGCAAGAGAAGCCAGTGCTCTTAAATAGGGAGCCATCTCCCTAGCCCTGAGGAACTTTTTTTAAAAGCAAAGTTATTTCGATTTCCACAAGCCCTGACATTTATGTTATTTAAATGAACCATGATAACAGCTTACCTTACTATTTAGGTCCTGTTAACCTGATCATTGGTGAGCTGGTTCTGATTTTGAGAACCCTTACATGGTTAGGCAAGGGACGGATCAGGGAGCGCCCATCCGTATTAGTAGTAATGATTTAAAATCAGGGTTGCTGTTTTTTTCTGTGCAAATAATCTTCAGGTTTCAACCTTTATCATAGAGAAAAGTACAGGCACGCTCTCGGGAACAGCAGCAGAGCTGGGGAAGTGGGCCGCAACCGCCCTTTAGCTAGTTCCACCGCGGCCAGGCCTCGGGTCATTTCTTGAGCGCTCCCGCCCGGGATGAGGTAACACGGCCAGCAGCACCAGCCTAGGCCGCCGGTGGCTGTTCACGTTTACATTTGAATTTCCCTGAACCGCTGGCGGTGGGTGGCGGCGCGGACCGCCCCGGAAACCTCGGGCTCTTTCCCGCCACTCGCAGGCCCGGCCCTCGGGGGGTCCCCGCGGGGCAGCACGAGGCCCGGCCGGCGCTGGGCCCAGGCCTGCAGGGTGAGCAGCCACGGCCGCCCCTCCCCTCCGCCCTCAGGCCGCTCCCCACCACGCCCAGCCCGGCGCGCCAGGCCGACGGTTGCTCGAGGACCAGGGTTTGAATTTGCAGGCCAGGCCCCTAGCCGCCGGAGCGCGCAACCCGTTCTCCATTGGCGGGTGGCAGTCACGTGGGCAGCCGCCATGTTGGGGAGTCCGGCCGGCGCCACCTCCGCCCCCCGCGGCTCGCTCTCGGCCCGCCCCGCGCCGCCCTCCTCCCCGGCCCGCCCGCCGCTCCGAGCTGCCTGAGAGGAAACAAAGTGCTGCGGGCGGGAGACTCGGCGGCGGCTGCGCGCGCCCTGCTCGGCCTCTTCCCGCGCGTGTGAGTGTACGTGCGCGTGTTTTTTAACAAAGGGCGTCTGCCCGCGATCGCTTGGCCGTTTGTGCCGCCTTCCGCGGTGCTCCTGGTCCCCACGCCGGCCTCCCTTCGTCGCCCCGCCGATCGCCGCCCGCCATGGCGACCGCGACCCCCGTTCCGTCGCGGACCGGCAGCCGCGCCAGCGCCCCGGCCACGCCGCTGAGTCCCACGCGGCTGTCGCGGCTGCAGGAGAAGGAGGAGCTGCGGGAGCTCAACGACCGCCTGGCGGTGTACATCGACAAGGTGCGCAGCCTGGAGACGGAGAACAGTGCGCTGCAGCTGCAGGTGACCGAGCGCGAGGAGGTGCGCGGTCGCGAGCTCACCGGTCTCAAGGCGCTCTACGAGACCGAGCTGGCCGACGCGCGGCGTGCGCTGGACGACACGGCCCGCGAGCGCGCCAAGCTGCAGATCGAGCTGGGCAAGTTCAAGGCCGAGCACGACCAGCTGCTGCTCAAGTGAGTGGGGCTGGCTGGCCACGCCGCGGGGCGCGGAAGGGGCGGCCGGGGCCAGCATCCTGCGGAGGGGGACCGGGTGACAGCGGCCCGCGTGCGGGCGGAGAGGGCGCGGGTGGATCGGTGGGTCGCGGTGGTCCTCCCAGGCACCGACGGACCCCCATCTGCGGCCCCGGGTGCAGGGAGGTGCTGCCCGTGCGCGCGCTCGAGTGCGCGCTCCGGTTTCCGGCCGGTGCTGGAGACAAAGCGTCGGGTGGGCTTGCGGGACTGGGTGGACGGGAGAATGAATGAGTTCTAGGAGGGCGGAGGAAGGGGAGGGACCGGCCCACGGCGGCTGCGGCTCCCGGGGGTGGGCCTTGCTTTGGCGCGCTCAGTCTTGGCCCACTGACATCTTGCGAGCTGTCTGCGCCAGCCTTGCTCGGGGCGGGAAGGGCGGGGTCTGAACCATGCGCCTGGGGCCTGTAGGGTCAGCCTAGCTGCGGAGCGAGCTCGACAGAGCCCCCCCCCCCCCCCCCCCCCGCGGGCTCCCGCCCTGGGGCTGGTCACGCCGGATTTCTTAAGCTGAGCTGCAAACGTCTGGGTCGTCGTCGTCCGAGCCGCCGATCGCCCACCCTGCAGGCGGTAGTGCTCTCCACCCCCATCCCCTCGCCAGTCCTGTAGAAGAGTACGGTTCTCGGGTACAGGCTGTGCTGGGGACCCACAGCCCGTACACCTGCGTTCTGTCGTGCAGGAAGGTCAAAGGGTGCTGCGAAAATGTGTTTCTAGGGGGGGAGAGCTCACTGTAATATGCTTGACCGCTGTTTTCTGTCAACGGTACGAGGATAAGCCCGCACACCTTAGCTGTCCATTTGATTTCCTGTTGGGTCAAATGGTTTAGTTGTCGTTAGTGTGCAACAAGTGCTGGTGTCACGCTTTGGAGATTTGCTGCATTTCAGTCCAGAAGTCATGGTCTTCCTCGAGACTGCCAATCAAATTTTTGAAGGTGTCTGGTTCAAACTTTGACTCTTAGGCCCCGGGTATCTTCTGTCTGAGTTTCGAATTTCCTTGTTTGCTTTCCACTTTTGTGTGTGGGAATGTGTGTACTCGTGATCAGATATTTTAAAAGGTTCTTAAAAATGTACGTGGTTGGGCCGGGTGTCCTGGCGCATGCCTTTAGTTCCAGCACTTGAGAGGCAGAGGCCGGCTGATCTCTGTGAGTTCAAGGCCAGCCTGGTCTACATAGTGAGTTCCAGGACAGCTGGGACTACAGAGAGATTCTGTCTCAAAAAGATCAAAAAAGAAAAAAGTATGTGGTTAAAAATAAAACGTTGTATAGACTGGTTTAGAATAAGCATTTACTTTTCTCCCCTAGTCTTTTGAGACAAGCAGTTCCCCTTGCCCAGGCTGGTCCGGAACTGCTGGGCTCAGGTGTTGCCCTGCTTAGTCCTTCCTTGTTAGCTAGAATGACAGGCTTGCCTGCCCACGGTGACTGTTAACTGCCCTTTCTCAGGAGGCAGTCATTTTTTAAAAGTTTTCCTTGAATATTTACTAGGATAGTTAAAAATAATACCAGGCCTTTTTCCCCTTTTTTGAGATGAATTTTCTGTGTTGCAGAGCTGGTCTCCAGCTCCTGGAGTTAAGCAATCCTCCCACCTCATCCTCCAGTGCTGGAACTAGAGCCCAGTGTTTGTCATAGCAGCTTTAACCTTATTTTTCCATTCTTTGGATTTACCAACACTTGGGATTTTCCTCTTGTCTTTTTGAGACAGGGTCTCCCTGTAGCCCCAGCTGGTCCAGAGCTTGCTCTGGAGGCCTCCCTCCCAAGTGCTGAGATTTAATTTAAGTCCTGTGCCACCACACCCTGCACTTGGGATCTTTTGGAAAGGTCAATTCAGGGACATTGTTGTCTCCAGTTTTTTTTGTTACTAAATTTCTTCAAGTTTTAGATGCCATTGCTTGTAAGACTTGGCTATTAAGGGTATCAGACTTTCTTGGATCCATCCCAATTTCAGATGTTAAAATGCGACACAAATCAAATGTCTGATTAGTTACTGTTTTGTGTATGGAGCACACAAAGATTAAAAAAATGTAACTAACGTCTCAATTTGAGAGTACAGTGAAGGAGGTAGGGGTTAATACAGCGAATTGTCTTTCCTGTGGTCTGAGGCGATTAGCTGGGAGCTTTTGGAACCTTTCTACGAGGTAACCTGAAGGCTTTTCACACAGCAGCAAGACTGCCACCTGGTGGACAATAGCTGTAAATGTCATGAGTTAGAAACTACATGCTGGTTTCATTTTGCAAGATTAAAAGTGAGCAGAATATTATTAGAAACAGTGATATGGGATAACATATATTTGTATCATGTGTAATTTGTACATCACTTAAGCATTATATAGCATATGGTATAACGGGTTATAATTGATGAAAGAATAAAAATTAAGCAGAGCAAAGGAATAGTGCATCAGGAAATGACTGTCTTTAAAAGTTTGTCAGGATTTTATTTTAATATTTTATGTGTATGAATGTTTATCTTGCATGTGTGTAAGTGCATTATGTGTGTGCAAAGCCCATGAAGATCAGAAGAGGAGTTGGATTTCCCTGGAACTGGCATTATGGAATGTTAGCTACCGTGTAGGTGCTGGGAACTGAACCTGGTCTTCTGTAAGAACAGCAAGTGCTGTTAACCTCTGAGCCATTACTCCAAGTCAGAGTCTTTCCTCACTCCTTTATTTAAAGAGTCAAGGTTTCACTGTGTAGCTGTGACTACCTTGGAACCCAGTATGTTTGTAGACCTAGCTGCCTTGGAACTCTCAAAATCTGCCTGCCTCTCTGCTTCCCCAGTGCTGGGATTAAATGATTGAGCCCCATAGGATTTACTTTTTGTTTGATAGGGTCTCCCGTAGCTCCAGGTGGCCTGGAACTCCCTATAGAGACCAGGCTGGCACACAGATCCATCTATCTGCCTCTACCTTCAGAGTGCTGAGACTAAAGGTGGGCACCACCACCCTGGGCCATTTGGGGCTTTGAAAGTAATTTTTGCTACAAGTTTGATAGTTGGGTGAGGTATAGACTACTGTAACATTTTTGTCTTAGTACAAAAAAGTATCGTTTTGTTTCATTGTCTTCAAACATTCCTTGTTATTACTTGTCTATTTATTTATTTAGTCTTTTTGAGACAGGGTCTCCCTGTAGCCCTAGTTGACCTGGTAGAAAGATTGGCCTCACTCTTGCAGAGATCATCCTGCCTCTGCTGGGATCAAAGGCATGCGCCACCAGCAGCCCCCCCCCCCCCCCGCCCTTGTTATTACTTATTTAATCCTATTTTGTTTGCAACTGTCAGCCCTATCTCCTTTTTCCAAGCCTTGGTTTTCTTAGGTTTTAGTTTTATTTAGCTCTGGGAAGCATGTTACTCTGTTCTCTGTCTTTTCATTTCCTTTGTTCTCTCTTGTTGAGTGCTTCCTCACCCCTCTCTGAGAATGGGTATGCATCCATGTCCCAGGTGCTGGGATTGCAGGTGTGTACCCACTGCTTCTGCTTTTGGTTTGTTTTTTGTTGTCTTGTACTGGAAAATTACCTTACTTTCTTTCAAGATCAGTAATGACATTTTAAAAATTTTATTTAATTAATTAATTAATTAATTAATTAATTTTTTGGGTCTTTTTGAAATAGGGTTTCCCTGTAGCCCCAGCTGGCCTGGAACTCACTATGTAGACCAGGCTGGCCTTCAACCCATAGAGATCCTCCTGCCTCTGCCTACCGAGTGCTGGGACAACAGGCGTGCACCACCAGCCCCGGTTGGATTTTTCTGTTTAAACTTGGCTTAAACTATCTCAGTTTTTCTTTCCTGGTGCTTTTTGGTTTGATCTTTTTCTTGCTGCAGATTTTTGTTGTGATCCTTGTAATGGTCAGTCTTGATTGTCAACTTGATTAGAGTGAGATAGTCCCTACAAGGTTAGTAAAGCACTCCTCAGTCTGACCTTGGGGATACTTCCAGAGAGGATTAACTGAAGGGGAAAGACTTGCCCTGAATATTAGTGGCACCATCTATCAGTTGATGGCCTAGATGGAATAAAAATGGAAAAAGAGAAAGCCGGTTAGCCTAGGACGTTCTCTTTTTCTGTGTCCTGGCTATGATGAGGTGAACAGCTTCTGCCATGGGCGCCAGCACTCATGTTGCATTGCTTTACCAGAAGCCCAGATGCCATGAACTGAAACCAAGCCAAACAAATAGTTCCTCCTTTAAAAAAGATCATTGGGGCTGGAGAGATGCCTCAGAGGTTAACACTTGCTGTTTGCCCAGAGGACCTGCGTTTGATTCCCAGCACCCACATGGTGGCCAGCAACCATCTGTAACTAGTTCCAGGGGATCAGTCACCCTCTTCTGGTCTCTGTGGACACTGCATGTACATGTGCACTTACATGCAGGCAAAACACTGATACACAAAAGATAAAAACAATAAATGAAATATATAAAAATTATTTATTTCATGTATATGTGTGTGTGTGCCTGAGTGTATGTGTGTGCATCATGTGCAGGCAGGTGCCAGAGGAGACCATTTGTTGGAATTAGAGTTATAGGCTGCTGTGAGTGCTGGGAACCAGACCTTGGTCTCTGCAGTAGCAGCAAGTGCTCCTAACCACTGAGCCATCTTTCCAGTTCAGTAATTCCTCCTTTTTAAGTTGCTTTTCTCAGGTACTGGTCATTGAGGTAGTGTAATCCTTGACCTCCCTAAGACAAGGTTATGTTAATGTTGTTCTGCTACCCCCTCCCCCTCTAACAAATGAGGACAAATTAAGATCTGTGTTTGTGTAGTTAGCCAACTTCTTAGAAAGCCTTCTGTTAAGCTGAGGAATATTGAGGAGGAACAAGTACAGAGCTTCTCCATCAGTGAATCCCCCCCCCCCCAATTTAAGCCTACCTACCTCAGTGTCTCTTGTAGCCCTCTGCATGGTCAAAAAAAAGTGTTTTTTAACTGAGTATTTAACACAGAGCTGGAGAGATGGCTCCGTTGTTGAAAACACT